CCCAAAATTACAATGCAACTATGTGCATTAACCAGACGATAATTGAAGAACTTTATTGGTGGGAACACCATATCAATACTGCTAAAAATGATCTTAAACGAGATCATTTTCACCGAGAGATCTATACAGATGCTGGTTTGTCAGGTTGGGGCGCCTTTTGCCAAGGCGAAAGTAGCTATGGTCGATGCACGGAACAAGAATCAAATATTCACATAAACATTTTGGCACTAAGAGCTATATACTTTGGCCTAAAATGTTTTGCCAGAGATTTATCAAATTGCAACGTTCTTATTCGAACGGACAATTCCACGGCACTAGCTTATGTCAATAAAATGGGCAGCGTGCAGCACCCGCAATTAAATGAATTGACAAGAACCATCTGGAAGTGGTGCGAATCAAAAAATTTATGGATATTTGCTTCCTACATTCCTTCATCAGAGAGCTGGCAAGCAGACCGTGCGTCTCGCGTTTTGCATACCGAGACAGAGTGGTATCTTAACCAACATGCCTTTGATGCAATAGCTCAAACTTTTGGGATCCCTGATATCGATTTGTTCGCGTCCGTAGCTAATCACAAATGTGATAGATACATGTCTTGGTTGAGAGATCCTAGCTCGGATGAAATTGATGCTTTCACTGTCTCTTGGAAATACTTGAACTTTTACGCGTTCCCACCCTTTTCAATGGTTCTGAGAACCTTACAGAAAATTATCAGTGACGAAGCATCAGGTATCTTGGTGGTTCCTCTTTGGAAGAACCAGCCATGGTACCCATTATTTATACAATTAATTATAGGAAATCCAATCTACTTTGGACCCTCAAGTAATCTCCTGCTTTGCCCTTTCAGCCAAAAGAAACATCCATTATCGGAAAACTTTATCCTGGTGGCGACCAGATTGTCAGGCAAGCTTTTCAACGAAAAGGGATTCCTCCGGAGGCTGTAGACACCATGATGAACTCCTTGAGTGACAATACGATTTCTCAATACAACTGTAGCCTAAGACTTTGGTGGGAATTTTGTCAACTGAGGGACATATTCCCTTTTAAATACGACGTACCCAATATTATTTCATTCCTACAGCAGGTTATGAACACATCAAATAATACTTATAGTTCCTTCAATTCCCATAGGGCGGCTCTTTCCCTTATCACTTCTAGCGATTTAGGGACAAATACAGAGGTAAAACGATTTATGAAAGGAATTTTTCGAACTAGACCGCCTAGGCCTAGATATAATTTTACGTGGAATCCTCAAGATGTACTTAAGTTTTTAAATAAACCGCCCGATAAAGATCTAAGATCCGTATCCTGTAAATTAGTTGCTCTCTTAGTGTTAGCTACCGGACAGAGAATCCAGACTGTTGCTCTTATTAGATGTCCTAATATTAAATTTTCTACCTCAGGGGCAGACATCCAAATCCCCGATTTTGTGAAAACTTCAGGGCCTAAAACACTTCAACCTAAGTTGTCATTGCCATATTTTCATGAATGTCCTAACTTGTGTGTTGCTTCTTGCCTACATCAGTACCTGGAACTAACTAAACCACTCCGCCCTGCCGATTGTGATAAGCTATTTCTCACCTTCAATAAACCACATGGCCCAGCTACTAAGCAAACCTTGAGTCGCTGGGTAAAAAATACAATGGCAAAGGCAGGAATCGACACAAATATGTTCAAACCCCATTCCTCAAGGCACGCTTCCACTTCATGTGCGCTAAGACAAGGGGTGCATATAGATGCAATACGCAGATCAGCTGGTTGGAGCCAGGACTCTCAAACCTTTGCAAGGTTTTACAATAGACCTCTAGTAGAGAAAGACAATTATTTAACATCTGTCTTGAATCTATTATCATCAGAAACATAGAGGATATACTTACGGTTATTTGAATTTGTTTAACGTTTGTATCAACTTTTTCGTTTTTCTTAAAATAAAAGTTGCTTCCACCTGTCTTACTGCAACTTCCTTTAAACAGCTACACAATTATGTAATATTGAGGACTGGATCCCGAAATATAATTTATCGATCAAACGAACTTACCTGAAGTTCGATCGTAATTATATGAGGGTCCAGTCCGAAAATATTACAAACCCTACCCCTACCCGCCCCTGAGAGTTGCAGGTAATACATCTGGATACTTTGAAGAATGAAGCGAATAGGACGGTGCGCCACTAGATCATCAAGGTGAACGGCAGTCAGGACCGGACGGGCGCATTTTTCCTTTGCTTTGAACCTCGTGATAAAAAGTATGGAAAGCCACTACTACACAATTATGTAATATTTTCGGACTGGACCCTCATATAATTACGATCGAACTTCAGGTAAGTTCGTTTGATCGATAAATTATCTAGTAAAAGATACAAGAATCCCAGATCTGAAAACGATTATTGTTCATGTGATCACAAACTAGCAGCGACTTGGTTTGTGCGTTGTTGGCACTATTTCTAATCAGGGCGCAACGATCAAAAACGCACTTGAGACGATTTGCTCGGAGAATACTCACGGATCAAGTCCATTCCATTTTATAGTCAATGCTCAGAGTATTTCTACAATTTGTGATGAACCACATTTATTCAAAAATGGATGAAATGCTCTTATTGACATTAATATGAAAGTGAAGAAGCTGCACAGATTGAACATGTCTAGAAATCATATAATGTTGATCAGCAAACAAGACCATACAAAGAGCTATGTAAATTGAAACCCAGCCACTTTGATTTTATAGATTCGTTCAAGAATATAGAAATTAATCCTTTAATGGTATCGTCGGATGATTCGAGCTTTCTCAGTTATGTGGTGGGGGTCCCGTGACTTCTCATACGGTATAAGCACGTATACCTCAAACCACAGTTTAATTTAAACATCACAATTGTTGGTTTGTTGACTTTGCGGTCAAATTTGATCCGAGGATGTCAGTTGCGTGTACGATTTGAACTTCCTTCACAATGGATTTTTTCGTTGTTGACGGATGAACAATACACTATAGACTACGCCGAGGACGACGCTGCTGTCGATCAACCTGAACAACTTCCTATGGGCGACCCTCGCTATGCTTATGGAAAAAACATGTACAATTGGTCAAAACGAGCGCCTGCAACTGGTCGATTATTACGCATTTACCTGAACTAAAGTCCGTGGCAACCAATTTGGAAAATAATAACCCTGTGACTCGAGAAATGCCGATAAATTTCTCCAAATACGTGAAATTTTCGAGACACTCATAGAGAACTGTCGAAATTGTTATATTTCGGGTGAGTCCCCTACAAAATACGAGATGCTCGTGGGCCGATGTCCTTCCTGTGCCTACAAGAAAACTAAACCGAATAAGTATGGACTGATGATGCAAAGACTCACCACTACCTGCTCAATGCTTTCGTCTATACGAACAGAAATATCACAGCAGATGACTGGTTCACGTCAGTAGAATTACATGTAGAATTGCGCATCAACCAACTGACCTATGTCGGCAGGAAGCGTAAAAATAAGTAACAAGTACCCCAACATGTAGTTCCAAATAAGAAGGAAACACAGCCAGGTACTTCTAAGTTTATGTTGTACAGCCTTAGAGTAGTATCTTCCAAAACCAAATACACATGTTCTCGTATAGCAATCTATGCAGCATGATAACAAAATAGTAGAGGAATCAAAGAAACCTGATAAGATCCTATATTATTTTTATAACACTATGAAGGCGGGGGGTAATGCATTAGATCGGAAGTGTGTAAATTACAATACTGGTTAGAGAACGAGAAGATGGCCTTGTGCTATTTGGTATCCAACCAGCTTCTGTAAATTCCTTTTTTTTTCAGTCTGGGACTGAAAGTTCCATTAGGCGACGAAATTTTATTGTTCCCCTGAGGCAAACTCTAATTTAACTTCGTATGAGAGGACGTTTATCAGATCCAAGACTTCCTAGGGAGCTTCGTTCAGCCATGCAAAGAATCCTAAATTACCAACGACGAATAAAGTAAGCCGTCTACTTCTCAGCCCAGAGTTCTCGATCCTGATGCAGTTGTTAAAGAAAAAAAACGACGTAGGTGTTACATGACAATACACAATGAAAAAAATGTTCTACAATCTGTAATAAGTATGTAAAGTCACAGCGCAGCTAGATTGTTTCGTGAAAAGTGATAAATGTGAATTATTGTACGTTTCCTTATACGGGAAAGTATTTCTTTTGTTGTAGAATATCAACACCAAATATGTTGTTAAATGGCCCATTTTGTTAGTTTTTTTATGTTCATATTACAGTTCAAGTTTCGTAAATTATATTTATTGCATTACTCATCTTCAAATGGGGTATTTTCGTTTTTAGACAATAAACAGTTTTCATGTAAGAGTGTCTTATGCGTACAAACCTGTTGTACACATTGCTAAAAACAGTAATGGCATTTCAGAAGTTGATAGTAAGATCCGGTGGATAACCTGTTTTGCGAGATTAGACGTGGGATTTCCAACACGAACCCCATCTGCTTATTTGCAGCATTAAAAACTGTAATAATCAACAATTTCAGTTTTCCATTGACAATAATGAAGAATTATGAAGGCGATTCATGTAAGGCACTAGGTAACTTCGCGTTGCTTTTAGAAGAGTATTGTCTGAATAGACAACAGTTACCTTGTGATTCTTCACCGAGCTGCATTTTTCAAGTTGAAAAATCGGGTGCTGAAAGTGATGGATCTATAGATTTGTGAGAATTTGCTGCTGCTTCAACTTCTTTTTGTAATAACAATAACAGTCTATATAAAATTTAACAATTCTGTTTCTTCTTTGATTTTGAGTCACCCTGTAAATGTAGCTCTACTAAACTATCGGACCGCATTCATAGCCTACAAGAGAAAAAAATCTTCTATACTGGAAAGGAGGAAAAAAAGAATGTATCAACCTGATACATCTGCCCCTCTTTATAACCCGTGAAATAGCCCTAGTTCTAATTAGATTTCAGTTCAAGCTTCCAAAATGACTTCCGACAATATTAAAGTAGCCATAAAGATCAGACCAATGATCCACCGCGAAGTAGCCGATGGTCTAGAGCGTCTTTGGAACATAAGAGAAAACTGCATATGGGAAGCCGATGAAAGTAGTCGCCATGGAGAGGTTTATATATTCGACCATGTATTTAACCAAGAATGTACAAATTCAGATGTATATGGATCTGTAGTAAAACCTTTAGTCGATTCCTTCATGGAAGGTTTCAATGCAACAATATTTGCATATGGCCAAACATCTTCTGGCAAAACACACACCATTTTGGGCAATAAAACAGATCCTGGGCTTTTCCAATTAGTATCCAATCAGTTATTCCAGCATGTGGCAGACCAGGTTGATGAGAGGTACTTGATTGGATTCAGTTATATTGAAATCTACAATGAAAAGATCAATGACCTCCTGGATAAGAGCAATCAGGGTTTAACTATAAGAGAAGATATCAAAGGAAATGTGCTGCTTGATGCAAGGGAAGCTGTCGTAGACAATGTTGATCAAGTTATGGAGAACATGATGCAGGGCAATAAGATCAGACGAGTTGCAGCTACTCGCATGAATGAGAGGTCATCTCGATCACACACGATTTTCCGGATTATTCTGGAGTCGAAAGATGCCAATCAGAAAGATGGACCTGTACATATAAGCTACCTTAACTTAATGGACTTGGCTGGTTCTGAGAGAGTTTCTCTGACGAAAGCTGCTGGTGAGCGTCTTGAAGAGGGGGCTAACATAAACAAATCTTTGTCAGTATTAGGAAATGTGATAAGGTAACTAAGCGGGGGGAAGGAGTTTATCAGTTATCGCGATTCGAAATTGACTAGACTGCTCTCACAGGCTCTTGGCGGTAATGCAAAATCATTGATTATCGGGAATGTTACTTTAGCTGCAGAGGAGGAGACTAGATCTATCTACACTAGAATTCGCCCAAAATACTAAAACTGTCAAAAATAAACCGAAAGTAAACATCTTGTCAGCTACAGAAGAGGCACTTCAAGGATATCAGAACTTGACTCGCGATCTCGAAACTCGGCTCAAAAAGCAGGCAATTAAGCTAGAAGAGATGGAGAAAAGCAAACAAGAGTATCTGCTCGAGATAGAAAGACTAAAGACGGAAGTATCTATTGTCGGGCGCTTTCAAATGGGAGCCTCGGCATCAACACCGAAAAAAATATTAAGACGTCATACTTTTGGAGACTATGGCAACGTATCACCTAAAAAAGCATCACAAGGGTATATGCCATTGAAAAATTATCCACCCAAAGAAGAATCATCCGGACGTGAAATGAGGCCTATTCAAGAAGAGACATATGAGGAGGCACTAGCCGAAGCAGTATCTGTGATAGCTGAAGACGTGCCTGCAAGTGTACTTAAAAGACAACTCAAAGAACTGGAAGAATCTTTCAATGAGCTTAGAGAATTCACTAAACTAGATAATCAGCTGGAGATTTTGGACCTGAAGAAACAGCTCACAGAAGCCAATTCTAAAATCAATCGTTACAGTCAGAAACTCTGCCAAGTAACGGATGCGCACAATGAAGAAATAGAAAGGGTTAAAAAAAATTCTCAAAAAGCGCAAGAATTTCATCGACTTGCAATACAGACTCGATTTTCTGGAAAAAAATTATAAAAAGACTAAAAACATACGAGTCAGAAATAGAGATGCTGCGTACTCAACTGAAGAACATAGGAAGATCAGAGAGCCCTAAACTATCTCTTGAAGCTCAAAATATTGAGCCAAAAAAGAAGGTTGCAGACTTAGAAGCTATGCTTGACGCTGAGTACGAAGATATGCAAGATTCTTTAAGTGCTGCTACACAAACTGCTGTAACGATGTCACACATTGCTGAACTGCAAGATGAAATTGGCTTCCTAAAAGAACTTGAATCTAAACTGAGAAATGACATAAAGAGTCTGATGGACGAGAGTAACCAACGTGAGGTCAACCACTCATTTAAAATCTCAGATATACGATGTCATAATGGTTCTATTATAAAAGAGCTTCAGGATCAAATGGCTGAACTGGAATGCCAAAACGAAATCTGGATTATGAAAAATGACGACGAAATCAGTAAATTGCAACAACTAATTACAACCCGAAGCAGGCTGGCACTTAACCAGAACCACCTGTGCAGGAAGACGTTGCATTTTATAGGGCGCAAGTTGAGTTCTCCCAGAACATGTACAAAAATGAGATAATAGGTGGAGAGTTACGTATAAACCATAGAGAAAATCTTCAGGCAGTTTAAACTAGAAATATGTCTACCCTTGTTTAGTGTTTACGATTATTGCAGGGTTTGGACAAAATTAGGGCTGATCCCACGGACCACGATAGCACCTAGGACTTAAGATTGTGAATCTAGTCTTGGTAACCGCTCACAGTGTACAATTTTCAGCTAATAAATCTTGAATTCTGAGGTAACAAAATCAACTAGAACTCTGTAAAAGTGATTTATCAAAATCATGCCCTTACTTCCATGATAAGAGGAATTCGTAAAAATTATAAGCAGGTTGTGGCTTATTATCTAGTAAAAGATACAAGAATCCCAGATCTGAAAACGATTATTGTTCATGTGATCACAAACTTGCAGCGACTTGGTTTGTGCGTCGTTGGCACTATTTCTAATCAGGGCGCAACGATCAAAAACGCACTTGAGACGATTTGCTCGGAGAATACTGGCGGATCAAGTCCATTCCATTTTATAGTCAATGCACAGAGTATTTCTACAATTTGTGATGAACCACATTTATTCAAAATTGGATGAAATGCTCTTATTGATATTAATATGAAAGTGAAGAAGCTGCACAGATTGAACATGTCTAGAAATCATATAATGTTGATCAGCAAACAAGACCATACAAAGAGCTATGTAAATTGAAACCCAGCCACTTTGATTTTATAGATTCGTTCAAGAATATAGAAATTAATCCTTTAATGGTATCGTCGGATGATTCGAGCTTTCTCAGTTATGTGGTGGGGGTCCCGTGACTTCTCATACGGTATAAGCACGTATACCTCAAACCACAGTTTAATTTAAACATCACAATTGTTGGTTTGTTGACTTTGCGGTCAAATTTGATCCGAGGATGTCAGTTGCGTGTACGATTTGAACTTCCTTCACAATGGATTTTTTCGTTGTTGACGGAATGAACAATACACTATAGACTACGCCGAGGGACGACGCTGTTAGCGATCAACCTGAACAACTTCCTATGGGCGACCTCGCTATGCTTATGGAAAAAACATGTACAATTGGTCAAAACGAGCGCCTGCAACTGGTCGATCCAGACGACAATATTATTACGCATTCACCTGAACTAAAGTCCGTGGCAACCAATTTGGAAAATAATAACCCTGTGACTCGAGAAATGCAGATAAATTTCTCCAAATACGTGAAATTTTCGAGACACTCATAGAGAACTGTCGAAATTGTTATATTTCGGGTGAGTCCCCTACAAAATACGAGATGCTCGTGGGCCGATGTCTTCCTGTGCCTACAAGAAAACTAAACCGAATAAGTATGGACTGATGTTGCAAAGACTCACCACTACCTGCTCAATGCTTTCGTCTATACGAACAGAAATATCACAGCAGATGACTGGTTCACGTCAGTAGAATTACATGTAGAATTGCGCATCAACCAACTGACCTATGTCGGCAGGAAGCGTAAAAATAAGTAACAAGTACCCCAACATGTAGTTCCAAATAAGAAGGAAACACAGCCAGGTACTTCTAAGTTTATGTTCACTAGCACTACAGCCTTAGTGTAGTATCTTCCAAACCAAATACACATGTTCTCGTATAGCAATCTATGCAGCATGATAACAAAATAGTAGAGGAATCAAAGAAACCTGATAAGATTCTATATTATTTTTATAACACTATGAAGGCGGGGGGTAATGCATTAGATCGGAAGTGTGTAATTACAATACTGGTTAGAGAACGAGAAGATGGCCTTGTGCTATTTGGTATCCAACCAGCTTCTGTAAATTCCTTTTTTTTCAGTCTGGGACTGAAAGTTCTATTAGGCGACGAAATTTTATTGTTCCTCTGAGGCAAACTCTAATTTAACTTCGTATGAGAGGACGTTTATCAGATCCAAGACGTCCTAGGGAGCTTCGTTCAGCCATGCAAAGAATCCTAAATTACCAACGATGAATAAAGTAAGCCGTCTACTTCTCAGCCCAGAGTTCTCGATCCTGATGCAGTTGTTAAAGGGAAAAAACGACGTAGGTGTTACATGACAATACACAATGAAAAAAATGTTCTACAATCTGTAATAAGTACGTAAAGTCACAGCGCAGCTAGATTGTTTCGTGAAAAGTGATAAATGTGAATTATTGTACGTTTCCTTATACGAGAAAGTATTTCTTTTGTTGTAGAATATCAACACCAAATATGTTGTTAAATGGCCCATTTTTGTTAGTTTTTTTTATGTTCATATTACAGTTCAAGTTTCGTAAATTATATTTATTGCATTACTCATCTTCAAATGGGGTATTTTCGTTTTTAGACAATAAACAGTTTTCATGTAAGAGTGTTTTATGCATACAAACCTGTTGTACACATGGCTAAAAACAGTAATGGCATTTCAGAAGTTGATAGTAAGATCCGGTGGATAACCTGTTTTGCGAGATTAGACACGAACCCCATCTGCTTGTTTGCAGCATTAAAAACTGTAATAACCAACAATTTCAGTTTTCCATTGACAATAATGAAGAATTATGAAGGCGATTCATGTAAGGCACTAGGTAACTTCGCGTTGCTTTTAGAAGAGTATTGTCTGAATAGACAACAGTTACCTTGTGATTCTTCACCGAGCTGCATTTTTCAAGTTGAAAAATCGGGTGCTGGAAGTGGATGGATCTATAGATATGTGAGAATTTGCTGCTGCTTCAACTTCTTTTTGTATAACAATAACAGTCTATAAGAAATTTAACAATTCTGTTTCTTCTTTGATTTGAGTCACCCTGTAAATGTAGCTCTACTAAACTATCGGACCGCATTCATAGCCTACAAGAGAAAAAATCTCTATACTGGAAAGGAGGAAAAAGAGAATGTATCAACCTGATACATCTGCCCCTCTTTATAACCCGTGAAATAGCCCTAGTCCTAATTAAATTTCAGTTCAAGCTTCCAAAATGACTTCCGACAATATTAAAGTAGCCATAAAGATCAGACCAATGATCCACCGCGAAGTAGCCGATGGTCTAGAGCGTCTTTGGAACGTAAGTGAAAACTGCATATGGGAAGCCAATGAAAGTAGTCGCCATGGAGAGGTTTATATATTCGACAATGTATTTAACCAGGAATGTACAAATTCAGATGTATATGGATCTGTAGTAAAACCTTTAGTCGATTCCTTCATGGAAGGTTTCAATGCAACAATATTTGCATACGGCCAAACATCTTCTGGCAAAACACACACCATTTTGGGCAATAAAACAGATCCTGGGGCTTTTCCAATTAGTATCCAATCAGTTATTCCAGCATGTGGCAGACCAGGTTGATAAGAGGTACTTGATTAGATTCAGTTTATATTGAAATCTACAATGAAAAGATCAATGACCTCCTGGATAAGAGCAATCAGGGTTTAACTATAAGAGAAGATATCAAAGGAAATGTGCTGCTTGATGCAAGGGAAGCTGTCGTAGACAATGTTGATCAAGTTATGGAGAACATGATGCAGGGCAATAAGATCAGACGAGTTGCAGCTACTCGCATGAATGAGAGGTCATCTCGATCACACACGATTTTCCGGATTATTCTGGAGTCGAAAGAGGCCAATCAGAAAGATGGACCTGTACATATAAGCTACCTTAACTTAATGGACTTAGCTGGTTCTGAGAGAGTTTCTCTGACGAAAGCTGCTGGTGAGCATCTTAAAGAGGGGGCTAACATAAAACAAATCTTTGTCAGTATTAGGAAATGTGATAAGGCAACTAAGCGAGGGGAAGGAGTTTATCAGTTATCGCGATTCGAAATTGACTAGACTGCTCTCACAGGCTCTTGGCGGTAATGCCAAATCATTGATTATCGGGAATGTTACTTTAGCTGCAGAGGAGGAGACTAGATCTACACTAGAATTCGCCCAAAGCACTAAAACTGTCAAAAATAAACCGAAAGTAAACATCTTGTCAGCTACAGAAGAGGCACTTCAAGGATATCAGAACTTGACTCGCGATCTCGAAACTCGGCTCAAAAAGCAGGCAATTAAGCTAGAAGAGATGGAGAAAAGCAAACAAGAGTATCTGCTCGAGATAGAAAGACTAAAACGGAAGTAGTATCTATTGTCGGCGCTTTCAAATGGGAGCCTCGGCATCAACACCGAAAAAAAACATTAAGACGATCATACTTTTGGAGACTATGGCAACGTATCACCTAAAAAAGCATCCATACGGTATATGACATTGAAAAATTATCCACCCGAAAAAAGAATCATCCGGACGTGAAATGAGGCCTATTCAAGGAGAGACATATGAGGAGGCACTAGCCGAAGCAGAATCTGTGATAGCTGAACACGTGCCTGCAAGTGTACTTAAAAGACAACTCAAAGAACTGGAAGAATCTTTCAATGAGCTCAGAGAATTCACTAAACTAGATAAACAGCTGAGATTTTGGACCTGAAGAAACAGCTCACAGAAGCCAATTCTAAAATCGATCGTTACAGTCAGGAACTCCGCCAAGTAACGGATGCGTACAATGAAGAAATAGAAAAGGTTCAAAAAAATTCTAAAAAAGCGCAAGAATTTCATCGACTTGCAATACAGACTCGATTTTCTGGAAAAACATTATAAAAAGACTAAAAACATACGAGTCAGAAATAGAGATGCTGCGTACTCAACTGAAGAACCTAGGAAGATCAGAGAGCCCTAAACCATCTCTTGAAGCTCAAAATATTGAGTCAAAAAGAAGGTTGCAGACTTAGAAGCTATGCTTGACGCTGAGTACGAAGATATGCAACATTCTTTAAGTGCTGCTGCACAAACTGATGTAACGATGTCACACATTGCTGAACTGCAAGATGAATTGGCTTCCTAAAAGAACTTGAATCTAAACTGAGAAATGACGTAAAGAGTCTGATGGACGAGAGTAACCAACGTGAGGTCAACCACTCATTTAAAATCTCAGATATACGATGCCATAATGATTCTACTATAAAAGAGCTTCAGGATCAAATGGCTGAACTGGAATGCCAAAACGAAATCTGGATTATGAAAAAGGACGACGAAATCAGAAAATTGCAACAACTAATTACAAACCCGAAGCAGGCTGGCACTTAACCAGAACCACCTGTGCAGGAAGACGTTGCATTTTATAGGGAGCAAG